TTACGATCTTTCCTTCTGTTTCCGTAACTGTGCATTCCGTTTCTTTTGGTTTTTCCAGATGTCGCATTTTTATTTCATTTCTTGCTATTACGGCTGTTCCTCCGCCCCGGTTGTCTTTCTTATCATCTCTGTATATGTGGTATTCTGGTATTCCTACTCTCGTATGGGGTTTTAGGAGTGTCTCGTTCAATAGCGCTACGTCGATTTTGTTTTCGATGAGGTATTCTTGGAGCTCTGTTCGTCTTTTCCAGAGTCCATGTATATTCCAGGTTATGACCTTAAAGTTTTCTTGATCCATTGAATTGGCGTAGTTCTTCTCTTAATATGTCCCTGATTGTCGTGGACAGTTCCTCCCTTATTATCTGCCTTACAATTTCCCTTAAATCTTCTTTCTTTTCTTCTTTTTTCTCTTCTTTTTCTTCCTTCTTTTTATCTCCTCCCATTATTTTGGCGAAGGATACTCCTTTCCTTATTTCGGCTTTTTCTGCCATTTCTTGTTGCGCTTTGTAGCGATCTTCTTTGATTTTGTCCGGGTTTGCCGGACATTCTTTCCATGCCGAACTGTGCTCTCCTCCGCAGTTGGCGCATTTCCTGATCTTTTCCTGGCAATTCTTGCCTTCGTGTTCTTCTCCGCATTTATAGCATCTCGTCTTTTTCGAGCATCTGTAGCTCACGTGTCCAAATTCTTGGCATCTGAAGCATTGTACGGCGCTTCCACTTTTCCGTTTGGCCTCGACTTTTACCCTCATGTCGAGAACTTTCTCCACGTTGAAGATCCTTTTTCCTTCGGGTGTTTTTTCGGCTTTCAACATGACCATGTCTATTTCTTTCCCCTTCGAGGTCATTCTTTTTACTGTGATGGCCGCCACTTCTTGGCTCTTTAATTCTTTTAAAATTTCTTCTTCCTTGTACGATGTGGGTATCCCTTTAATGACTACCCTTAATTCTTTTTCGCTTCTTAGTTGATAGGTGTGGTGTTCCACTTCTCCTATCTCCAATTTCGCTTTCAAGCTTCTAAAATCCTCGACTTCTTTCGTAAATATTTTTAGGCCCTCCTGGCTCATCTTTCCCTCGAATTTTATTCCGGCCTCTTTGGCCATCTTTTGGACTTTCACCGCTTCGTTCGCCTTCTTGAGGATTATCGGTGGTGGTCTTTCCGTTTTCTTCTTTTCCGCTTTCTTTGCATCAGAATACAAGCAAGCNTAAGACGAAAGGGGTCGTCTTCGAATTGGCGGTTGAAGTGCTGGCTTGTTGTCGCTGCTGTTGTCGCTGTTATCGTTGTCGCTGTTGTTGTCGCTTCGGAGTTCGGTTGGAATTGACCGCTGATGGAAACCCGGCCGCCTTAAATAGGCGCCCTTGGGTAAAACCCTATCAACCGGGCGTTGTGGTTGGTTGGCGACCGTCCGATCCGTAGGTAGGGTTGACGACCAATGGCCAAGCAGATCGAACGGCGCTTAATTCGTACTTGGTGACAACGGTATTGGACTAGTCTCGAAAAAAGAGACCGGGACATGGCACCTACTTTTTTCGAATCTCTTATAGTTTCTGAGATAGCCTATAATAACACCCAAATTTGCCCACCCTGTACACGTCTTGTTTAATATTAATTTTTAATTAATAAACTATTTTAACTTAAGTAAGGTACTATTAAATAAGCTATTATACTTATTTATCATTTATATTTACAATATAAAGATATTTCAGTCATTTGACAGATCAATTGATACACAATCTATTAACACAAAGTCTATTAACACACATTTGGTAGAAACAATTCTATTTAACGACATTTAATTGTCGTTATGCATTGATAGCCTAAGAAATAAGGTTTTCATCCGTAAATATGTTGTAATCTCAATAAGTTTAGCGAAAATAACTTTTTATTTTGTGCGCGGGTATAAATTAAACAATTTCAGGTTAGGATTTAATACGAAAATGCATATTTAACATTGCTTTGAACTTCCAAAAAGAAACGTCAAATCGCAACTTTAAAGTGATTTTTCGGTAAGTACTACACTTTTCCGCACTTTTTTTTTATCATTAACTCATCTTTTGAGTCATTTCCTACCGATTAAAAAAAAATCATCGATTTTTAAGAGGGACAGGTATTCTTTAATTATTCCTTAAAATTTGTTTGTAAAATTGAAAAATGTCAATGTTTAATTAAATCGAAACTATTTGATAAATTTTAAAAAATCATCGCGAGTCTATTTTTAGGAATTAACAAACGATTTTTATGTCCAATTAAATCTTAAACTTTAATCTTCAATTCTATGTGTAATAAGTAATACGTTTGATTATAAAATTTATTTTATGACAGGTTAAATATAAAACACAAAATTATTATTTTAAAATAATTTATTTTTAGTCAAGTAAAAAAATCATTAAATTATAGGATTTTTGTCGCATTAAAATCAAATTCCCGTCGTTTTTCTAATCCACTCCAAATGTTTCGCCGCATCCGCAAAAATCGCATAACTCTTCGTATTACAAACCTCGTTTAAATCCTGCTTTCGATTCAACGAAACAATCCCCCTCAACTGCCAAACAGTCTTCGAAAAGCCAACCTTTTTAAACAACATCCCACCCCCAGAATCCCCATTACACACCGCCTTCCCATCCTGCCCCCCCGCACAATAAGTTTTCTCATTCGTATGTTTCCGATAAAAATCATCCTTCTCCTTACACGTTTCCCCAGAAATGACCGGAATCTCAGCGTGTCTTAAATCACTAGAAAACGAGGTATTCCTCTGATCAATTCCCCACCCCACAACCGTTCCCAATCTCCCCGTAATCGTCGCTTGATCATTATCCTCCGACCACAAACAAACGGGGCGAATAAAATTGTTGAATTGAAGGTTACGGGTGAGTTTGATTAAGGCGATATCGTTGAAATAAGTTTCAGGGGAATAATCGGAAGGGATCATAATCTCATCGGCGATTGAAATCGTAACTGAGGGTATGGTTAGGTCGGTTAAGCGGGTCACTCCGATGTAAATAAGGAAGCTTTGGGTGCTTAATAAAGTTTTCGTTTTTGGATATGTTACACAATGCGCGGCGGTTAAAATAAAATTTTCGCTGATTATTGAACCACCGCAGATGTAGTTTACTCGCGGGTGGTTTATTTTCATTATTGCTACATGCCAAGGCCAAGAACCTAAAAAGAAAAAATATATATACACATATAATTAATGAATCAATTTGAATTAACCTTCCGATGATAATTCCCCATTAAAAATTAAAGACTCCGCCTCGGGGACAACCCCACATCCTTCCTTTCCGATAATCGGTTGATTTTGAGGAATTTCTTGCGCCCTAACATCGATGTTTTCGTCGCTTTTCGGGCAAATAATTCTTCCGTTGACGATGATTTGGGTGATGTTGGGAATGGGGGTGAGTTTATTAAACTTAACGATTAATTTCGCTTCAATTGTGTCCCCAGTGGCTACTCGAAGACTCGGGTTTCTTATGATAAAGTTTTGGTTGTTCGTCGAGGTTGTTTCCCCAAAATTCGTCTAAAAATAATTAATCAATTTCCATTTTTGAACTTTAATTCACTTACAATCAAAACATCGGCTTTGCTATCAAGGTCGATTTTAATCCAAACTCCGTTCATCGGTTCGAGAACTTTGACCCGCAAATTCGCGCTCCAACGATCTTCTTGCACCTCATCGTCGAAGGTGATCATCGTGCAAGAAGAAATCGCTACACCGTCAATAGCAACACTAATAACAAGGAGGATTAACACTTTGAATTGCAACATTTCGATAAATCACATCCGTTCGCGGTTATAATAAAAGTACCAATCTGAAGGAGGATATAAAAACTTTTTAAACTTAAATGTTATTCGAAACCGGTTAAAGTTGCACGATTCTCGAGGCGAAGCGGATTGTTCTAAAAGGCAACGACAAGGTCACTGTCAAAGAGGAGGTCGTTGCTGTTTCGTTAACTTATAAACGTTGGAAATACCCGGAGATGTTAAAATTATTTGAAACGGAGAATATTTATTATTAGGTTGCTCAATTGGTTGTCTATATATAAGATTTTGACCTTAAATACAAAGTTATCTACGATTATAATCGTTTAAATAATTATGGGATAAATTACTTTGCTTATAAATATCTCCAGGATACTTAAGGAAGATGATTTGATAGAGAAAAATGATTTTGGTGTCTTTTGACAATGTTTCAAAGTTGCCACAAAACAGAAAATGCTCATTGGTGAGTGCCAAAATGGTTCAAATTGGTAATAAACAGCTCAAGGATACATAAAAAGAATAATTTTTTAAAGAAAAATGATTTTGGTGTCTTTTGATAATGTTTCGAAACTGCCAAAAAATTCAAAATGTTTATTGGTGAGTGTCAAAATAGATAAAATCGATTGGAAATGACCTCTTGATGGTTAACAAGAACGAATAAGATGATTGACCTCCATTTTGTTTGTACCGATCAAGTCTATTAGGAAAGTTCGTCAACACATTTCTCAAGGTTTTTTTTAGCTGAGCAAGTATACGCAGTTTCATTTTGCCAAAACAAAGAGGAATTTAACAGCGACTAACTCATTTAAAATCAATATTTTAAAAAAATCGTACTAACTGCATTTTTAAGAGTTAAGAATTGATTTATATCTTAAATTGAACCTAAAAGATTATAATTTATGGTGAGATATAAAAAGATTAGGGTAAGATTATAAAAATTTCCAGAAAAACGATTTTAAGTGAGGAAGTGTCAAATTTATATTTAAACGGAAAATCAATTTTTTTTAAATATGCCAACTGCATTTTTAAGAATTAAGGAACGATTTATATCTTAAATTGAAGCTAAAAGATTATAGTTTATGATGAGATATAAAAAGATTGGGGTAAGATTATAAAAATTTCCCGAAAAAAGTGTTTAAGTGAAAAAATGTCAAATTTATACATCAATACAAAATTAATTTTTTGAAAATATCGTACCAACTGCATTTTTAAGAATTAAAAGGCGATTTATATCTTAAATTGAACCTAAAAGATTATAGTTTATGATGAGATATAAAAAGATTGGGGTTAGATTATAAAAATTTTCCGATCAAAGCTTTTAAGTGAAAAAATGTAAAATTTATACATAAATAGAAAATTAATTTTTTAAAATATCGTACCAACTGCATTTTTAAGAATTAAAAAGCGATTTATATCTTAAATTGAACCTAAAAGATTATAGTTTATGATGAGATATAAAAAGATTAGGGTAAGATTATAAAAATTTCCAGATAAAAGCTTACAAGTGAAGAAACGTCAAATTTATACATAAATAGAAAAATTATTTTTTAAAAATATCGTACGAACTGCATTTTTAAGAATTAAAAGGCGATTTATATTTTACATTGAACCTAAAAGATTATAGTTTATGATGAGATATAAAAAGATTGGGGTTAAATTATAAAAATTTCCTGATCAAAGCTTGTAAGTGAAGAAATGTCAAATTTATACATAAATAGAAAATTAATTTTTTAAAAATATCGTACCAACTGCATTTCTAAGAATTAAAAGGCGATTTATATTTTACATTGAACCTAAAATATTATAGTTTATGATGAGATATAAAAAGATTGGGGTTAGATTATAAAAATTTCCCGATCAAAGCTTTTAAGTGAAGAAATGTCAAATTTATACATAAATAGAAAATTAATTTTTTTAAATATCGTACCAATTGCATTTTTAAGAATTAAAACGCGATTTATATCTTAAATGGAACCTAAAAGATTATAGTTTATGATGAGATATAAAAAGATTGGGGTAAGATTATAAAAATTTCCTGATAAAAGCTTTTAAGTGAAAAAATGGCAAATTTATACATAAATAGAAAAATAATTTTTTAAAATATCGTACCAACTGCATTTTTAAGAATTAAAACGCGATTTCTTTCTTAAATGGAACCTAAAAAATTGTAGTTTATGGTGAGATATAAAACGATTAGGGTAAGATTATAAAAATTTCCCGATAAAAGCTTTTAAGTGAAGAAATGTCAAATTTATACATAAATAGAAAAATAATTTTTTAAAATATCGTACCAACTGCATTTTTAAGAATTAAAACGCGATTTCTTTCTTAAATGGAACCTAAAAAATTGTAGTTTATGGTGAGATATAAAACGATTAGGGTAAGATTATAAAAATTTCCCGATAAAAGCTTTTAAGTGAAGAAATGTCAAATTTATACATAAATAGAAAAATAATTTTTTAAAATATCGTACCAACTGCATTTTTAAGAATTAAAGCGCGATTTCTATCTTAAATGGAACCTAAAAAATTGTAGTTTATGGTGAGATATAAAACGATTAGGGTAAGATTATAAAAATTTCCCGATAAAAGCTTTTAAGTGAAGAAATGTCAAATTTATACATAAATAGAAAAATAATTTTTTAAAATATCGTACCAACTGCATTTTTAAGAATTAAAGCGCGATTTCTATCTTAAATGGAACCTAAAAGATTGTAGTTTATGGTGAGATATAAAAAGATTAGGGTAAGATTATAAAAATTTCCCGATAAAAGCTTTTAAGTGAAGAAATGTCAAATTTATACATAAATAGAAAAATAATTTTTTAAAATATCGTACCAACTGCATTTTTAAGAATTAAAACGCGATTTATATCTTAAATGGAACCTAAAAGATTGTAGTTTATGGTGAGATATAAAAAGATTAGGGTAAGATTATAAAAATTTCCCGATAAAAGCTTTTAAGTGAAGAAATGTCAAATTTATACATAAATAGAAAAATAATTTTTTAAAATATCGTACCAACTGCATTTTTAAGAATTAAAGCGCGATTTATATCTTAAATGGAACCTAAAAGATTGTAGTTTATGGTGAGATATAAAAAGATTAGGGTAAGATTATAAAAATTTCCCGATAAAAGCTTTTAAGTGAAGAAATGTCAAATTTATACATAAATAGAAAATTAATTTTTTAAAATATCGTACCAACTGCATTTTTAAGAATTAAAACGCGATTTATATCTTAAATGGAACCTAAAAGATTGTAGTTTATGGTGAGATATAAAAAGATTAGGGTAAGATTATAAAAATTTCCCGATAAAAGCTTTTAAGTGAAGAAATGTCAAATTTATACATAAATAGAAAATTAATTTTTTAAAATATCGTACCAACTGCATTTTTAAGAATTAAAACGCGATTTATATCTTAAATTGAACCTAAAAGATTGTAGTTTATGATGAGATATAAAAAGATTGGGGTAAGATTATAAAAATTTCCCGATAAAAGCTTCTAAGTGAAGAAATGTCAAATTTATACATAAATAGAAAATTAATTTTTTAAAATATCGTACCAACTGCATTTTTAAGAATTAAAGCGTGATTTATATCTTAAATGGAACGTATAAGATTGTAGATTATGATGAGATATAAAAAGATTGGGGTAAGATTATAAAAATTTCCCGATAAAAGCTTCTAAGTGAAAAAATGTCAAATTTATACATAAATAGAAAATTAATTTTTTAAAAATATCGTACGAATTGCATTTTTAAGAATTAAAAGGCGATTTATATTTTACATTGAACCTAAAAGATTATAGTTTATGATGAGATATAAAAAGATTAGGGTAAGATTATAAAAATTTCCCGATAAAAACTTTTAAGTGAAGAAATGTTAAATTTATAGAAAAATAGAAAATTAATTTTTTTTAAATATCGTACGAACTGCATTTTTAAGAATTAAAAGGCGATTTATATCTTAAATGGAACCTAAAAGATTATAGTTTATGATGAGATATAAAAAGATTAGGGTAAGATTATAAAAATTTCTCGATAAAAGCTTTTAAGTGAAGAAATGTCAAATTTATACAAAAATAGAAAATTAATTTTTTAAAATATCGTACCAACTGCATTTTTAAGAATTAAAACGCGATTTATATCTTAAATTAGACCTAAAAGATTATAGTTTATGATGAGATATAAAAAGATTGGGGTAAGATTATAAAAATTTCCCAATAAAAGCTTCTAAGTGAAGAAATGTCAAATTTATACATAAATAGAAAAATAATTTTTTTAAATATCGTACCAACTGCATTTTTAAGAATTAAAAGGCGATTTATATTTTACATTGAACCTAAAAGATTATAGTTTATGATGAGATATAAAAAGATTGGGGTTAGATTGTAAAAATTTCCCGATCAAAGCTTTTAAGTGAAGAAATGTCAAATTTATACATAAATAGAAAATTAATTTTTTGAAAATATCCTATCAACTGCATTTTTAAGAATTAAAAAGCTATTTATATCTTAAATTGAACCTAAAAGATTATAGTTTATGATGAGATATAAAAGGATTAGGGTAAGATTATAAAAATTTCCCGATAAAAGCTTGCAAGTGAAGAAATGTCAAATTTATACATAAATAGAAAAATAATTTTTTAAAATATCGTACCAACTGCATTTTTAAGAATTAAAGCGCGATTTTTATCTTAAATGGAACCTAAAAGATTGTAGTTTATGATGAGATATAAAAAGATTGGGGTAAGATTATAAAAATTTCCCGATAAAAGCTTTTAAGTGAAAAAATGGCAAATTTATACATAAATAGAAAAATAATTTTTTAAAATATCGTACCAACTGCATTTTTAAGAATTAAAACGCGATTTCTTTCTTAAATGGAACCTAAAAAATTGTAGTTTATGGTGAGATATAAAACGATTAGGGTAAGATTATAAAAATTTCCCGATAAAAGCTTTTAAGTGAAGAAATGTCAAATTTATACATAAATAGAAAAATAATTTTTTAAAATATCGTATCAACTGCATTTTTAAGAATTAACGCGCGATTTCTATCTTAAATGGAACCTAAAAGATTGTAGTTTATGGTGAGATATAAAAAGATAAGGGTAACATTATAAAAATTTCCCGATAAAAGCTTGCAAGTGAAGAAATGTCAAATTTATACATCAA